CATTGAAACTCTACCGCTCTGCTGACATGACTCAGTGCATGGCAATGGCTCCTATGAAGGTGCATCGCTAGCTATAGCGGCTATAGGCGATGTCCAATACAGTAATATAGATCATTGCTCTGTGTATGTGTCATGCTCTCTGGAGACAACGGGTCCTGTGCAAGTCCTCCAGAGAAGGCAGAGGGCACCCAACAATGTCCTGAGCCACCTTTATGTTTCTCTGGAGTGCTTTCTTCTGAGCCACTGTGTAACCAGAGAACCACTCACACAGACAGTAGCTCAGGACACTTTCAATGGAGCAGCAGTAGAAGGTCACCAGCAGTCTCTGGGTGATGTTATTCCTATTCAGGACCCTCAGAAAGTAGAGTCTCTGCTGGGCCTTCTTCACCAGCTCCTTGGTGTTAACGCCCCAGCTTAAGTCCACTGAGAGGTGAACCCCCAGGAAGCGAAAGTCTGAGTCCCCATTGATGAGTAACAGCTGGATGTCAGATCGTTTCCTCCAAAAGCAGGGGTGCCCAAAGATTTTCCCCAAGAGGGCCAAAATGAAAATCTATCCGGGGCTGCGGGCCAAGTACAGTAATATAATGCTTGAAATACAAATACTTTTTAAGTAAAGTCCTTTATTTTTAACTATTAAACTTGCAGCCAGTGTGGTGGCCCGCTTTTGTTTTAGTCTGCACAGTTGGAGAAAGTCTGCCATACGTTAAAGTAGCAACGGCTCATGGGACATTAGCTACTTAGATAAATTCAACACCATGAGTGAAGACTATCTGTATTACAACCCCTTATAATAGAGCAATAGAGCCAATAGATGAAATGACTAAGTGGAAATACTGTGTTTTTACATAGGACGACAGGTTACAGCCTATATTAACTATGTCAAYTGCTGTTGGGCCACATCAAATGGCCTGGCGGRCCTAATTTGGCCCGCGGGCCCCACTTTGGGCTTCTCTGTCCTAAAGTCAAYAACCAGTTCCTTAGCTTTTGTTGTGTTCAGAATCAGGTTGTTGTCTCTGCACCACACCGTTAACTGCTCCACCTCATCCCTGTAGGCAGACTCGTCTCCCCCAGAGATGAGCCCCACCACTGTGGTGTCATCGGCAAACCATAGTGATGTTGCTGTGGTGGGCAGTGGTACAGTCATAGTTGTAGAACCAGCGAAGCTTCTTCCTCCTTTGTCCAGTGGTCRTCCGAAACGTCRGCCYGAGCGGGCGAACTCCGGTCCTTGGAGCTCCGATAACCACAACGCCAATTTGTGGTGGAAGGATTTATCAAGAATGCAGAAACACGTTGGAATAAATGCACAGAAAGTCTGTGTGTACGGCCGTCAAATGATTTAATCAGAGCAACAACAGAGCAGAAGTTGATCAGAGAAATCTGTCAATTGTAGCTGGTGCGTCAGTGCAGAACAGCCGATAATATAACATCCTGTGACATGTTTACAACCAATCACAGTTCGCCAACTGTAACCATCTAACCAATAACAAAGCTGTCAACCCCGGAAACACCTTATCAAAATAAAATGGGTCGTGCATTACTGGAGTCTTTAAGTCTGGGCCGATAGATTAAAACAGCCAAAACTAGTAATCACATGAGATATGATTACTGGACAGTGTCAAGGTAAAACAGATATACATAATTATTCCATAACAATGGTATATAGCAGTGGGCTCAGCACACAGCCCTGTGGGGAACCCGTGCTGATACTGAAGGCCGTAGAGGTGTAAGGACCCACCCTGACCCTCTGGGTGCGGTTGGTGAGGAAATCCTTGATCCAGCTGCAGGTGGAGAGTGGAAAACCCAGATCCACTAGTTTGGACACCAGCCTGTTGGGCAGGATGTGTTAAATGTGGAACTATAATCCACAAAAAGAAGCMTCAAGTGAAACTGTTACGTTTTGCTTTACTCTGTAACAATTCATTGCTTTATTTAAAATATGTTAAATTATGTGAATGTGACTAGGGACAAAATATTTCAAGGCTGCATCAGGTGGTGTTGAGTTGAAGCTGACAAGTGTCTGTCAGTGTGAGGGGAAGTGAAGCTGCACCTGTGGGCCAATGGTTTTACAATAGGAAGAGCTCCCTGTAGGGGATTTATTATTTTCATGGTACAAAGATGGGCAACGTGCATTTGGACCAATCAAAGGTAAATGGACTGTAGGATAGCTCCTTTCTACCCAACCAGGATACTCTRAACTCTTTACAATCTGTGTCCTCATTCACCCATTCATACACCCATTCACACATCTATTCACACATCCATTCACACATCTATTCATCCATTCACACAGCACTCTACTAGATCTCTACAAAGCTAATACAGATGAATCAATCTCTGGAGACTAATCAGTGATTTAAATCACATTCCTACACTGATGAGTCACACATCAGAGGCAGTGGAGATTCAGTGTTTTTCTCAGGGACACTGAACTGTGACAGAATAGCAGGGAAYTGAACCGCCAACTCTTGCAGTAGAGGAACGACTCCCCTAACCACTCGTCCTCAGCCGAACAGGTATAATAACATTAGGAAGGAAGAGGAAGCATRGTATTCCCTGCAGCTTTCTGAAGGCACACGAGACAGAATCTGAAAACTGAAATCTGAAAATGTAGAAGATTTGCGAGCTGAAAATTTGAGCATCAAGCTTTACCACCCTTTTTGTGGATTACAGGTCTCTGATTGGTTATGGAAGCACATCACTAGATGAGTTAACACCCTTTTGTGGATTACAGGTCTCTGATTGGTTATGGAAGCACATCACTAGATGAGTTAACACCTTTTTTTGTGGATTACAAAGTTTCANACAGGGTGAAGTTTATGGTAAGTTTTTCCTCATAAAATTGTATCTTGATGTGTGTTTGTTTTTCAACATCATTAGCATCGCAATATTTGTTTCGTTTACACGTCCGTAATGCACACCCGCCTTCAGAGTCAAGAACCAATCAAATTTTGTGAAGACAAGTGACCTGAGAGCGCGATTCGCAAAGCTGCGATCGCTATCGCGTCCCATGTGTCGGGTTTCACCCTGGCTGCGATGACCGTTAATCGCTGTAGTTTGTCGCTCCCCGTGTGTCGAACCATTTACAAAGAACCTGGGATTGAAGGCCACAAGACCCAGGACATTTCAGCTAGCAAGGTATGAAAGATCCTACATATCCTCATCCAAATATTAAAGCTACATTAATGCAGCCTTACTTTGGGACACATATTTCACATCCATTGATGTGTGAACAAATATGGCCTTTAAGTCATTAGGGGGCTGATGTTTAGAGGGCGCTAGAGAGCCAATATGCCCACCTCTAAAGTAAAAGACAACATCTTTGAGTTTATTTTGAATGGAGCACCATGTATTCTAAGATTATTAGTGGTATAGAAAATAACCAATATTTTT